CCAAGCAACCACAAACGAGAACTACTGATCTAAATTCACAAACAATTTCAACGTAAAAAAATTCTTTTTCTGTCTACACAAAATCGGCCTGGTGGTAAAAATGTAAATAGACTCCAATACACGCAAATACCTTTGACTACGTGAACGAGACCAAACAGAAAAGCAATCATCAGCATAACTAGAACGACAATCACTATTCTGAACAAGATGGTTGGCGATAGAAGATTCATACACCCTAACAACGCTACTAGAACCAGTACATACTTTGGAATTACGTGACAATGAAACCGACCTGACATTCCTTGCCGCTACTGCCAATCCAGACGAGGCCGATGTAGATGTCCGTACCAAAGGCACGTCCGTTGCTGGCACTGCCTGCTGCGATGATGCTCCCTTTGACGTTCCAATGGCTGTTGATGTTGATGAAGAGGAGGAGGGAGATGAAGAAGACGCTGACGACGACGATGACGACAACGACGGAGACGATAAAGACTCTGCTAACCTCGCCCTAGAGCGAGTCACTGGTCCCGCAGACACACCACCCGGTGGTTTCTTCGGTGGCCGGCCACGCTTTTTGCCACCGGAGGTGGACACACCGGATGACGGTACAGAGGAAGTCAAAGAAGACGAAACCGCAGATACCAACGATGATGACGGGATAGAAGGAAGAGACGGTAAAGACGAAGGCAATGACGAACAAGCCGATGCCGACGAAGAAGCCAACGACACCCCAGTTGGTTCCGTCCCCAGCGAGGGTGCACCTCCAGTCGCAGTACCAATCTTTGGGGGACGACCTCGTCTAGGCCTTGACGACCGTGCCTCAACAGGCATAACGTGAATCTTCTATCGCCAACCATCTTGTTCAGAATAGGTATTGTCGTTCTAGTTATGCTGATGATTGCTTTTCTGTTTGGTCTCGTTCACGTAGTCAAAGGTATTTGCGGGTATTGGAGTCTATTTACATTTTTACCACCAGGCCGATTTTGTGTAGGCAGAAAAAGAATTTGTTTACGTTGAAATTGTTTGTGAATTTAGATCAGTAGTTCTCGTTTGTGGTTGCTTGGTAACTTTCTAGTGGTGAATTTATCGCATTTGTTGTCACCTGATATCGTTGAATGGTGTAATGTTTCTTTCAGCTCTCATTTTATCGCGCTAGTTAGGGTCTAAATTATTACTTGCATTGTGCGTATATATATATTGAGTTAAGAGCTTTTGTTGATTTGCCAGTAATCCTCTGATGAGATGGCGACGAAAACGTTTAGGAACAAGCTTATTTATTATACATGAAAACAAGTTTTGCTTATGGTGTTTGTACTGAGTGCGCAGCTTACTCTATTTATTGCGTTGATTATTATTATTATTATTATTATTATTATTATTATGACGACTTTATTCACTCCCAAAGCAGAAAAAGAAAGCTTGAAAGGAGGCATGAAGCACAGCACCGGGATCCATATGACCCAAGGGTGAAGCACCAATCAATGAAGATAAAAGAAAATCCTGAACCAAATTTTGATAAACTTCATGAGAGAAAAATTCAAGTATACCAACTTCGATACTCACATAAAATCACAGTCATGTATAACAGAACTACTCAAGTAGTAAACACCAAGCATGCTGCACATGGGGCACTCCAAGCAAGACAAACTCAGACGAGATAAAACGGCATATGCAGAGAAAGACAATACATGACTGGGGGGATATGGCAGAAATTCACGCCTCTCGGCTCGTCACACAGCACATGATGCACCACAATCATAAAACACACAGACTGAGACACATCGAGACATTATGGGCAGGCTAACATAAGATCAACCGACCGTTCCGACCATACCACTCTCCCATCCATGACCAGTCACCGACCGCACAATTCTCAGGGTGCCCAGAATAGCACATTGCTGCAGCCGCTGGATCACGGACGCGTGGAGCCCAAGGCTTAAGATGTGGCTGCGGCTCGTTCCTGACGGTTCCTGCGGTTCGTTTCTATTATTATTATTATTATTATTAATAGCAATGAAAAGTATGAATGCCGCAGACATCACCACGCAACATGACAATTTGTTCAAGGTTTGGTTTTGTGTGTTTCCAAAATCGATTTTCACGTTCCGATCATCAGTGGAAATACGGAACTAAAGAGATCAAGGGAAAAACAAAGGTTAAAAATCCAAAGAAGTGTGACACATGACGGGTAACTTGTGGTAAGTTTTACAAAAAGTGAGAACTAAAATAAAGAGTAAGTGTGACAAACGGGCATGAACAGTGCAGAAACAACTCATGAACACGGGGTGCAAACTCACGAAAATAACCTAAGTGCTAAAACATGTTCTTTTTGCTTACACAAATCGGGCTTATGCGTACGAATACAAACAGCTTCAAGGACCTTCAACTGCTGGACATAACGGGCACGACACAGTACAGAGAAGTGGGAATCATCATACACACTCAAACAATCGGGACGAGATAACAAATGCAAATACACAGCTGACTTCTTACGAATTTCACCCTCATCAGCTCCATCACCTTCCCTGCCACCTGACTCCTCCTCGTCCGTTTTATCGACGAGGCGGATGACGGCGAGGATACAGATGACGACGAGGCGGGTGATGACGAGGCGGCGGATGAAGACGAGGCGGATGACGGTGAGACGGCTGGTGGTGATGGTGATAAAACGGACGAGGAGGAGTCAGGTGGCAGGGAAGGTGATGGAGCTGATGAGGGTGAAATTCGTAAGAAGTCAGCTGTGTATTTGCATTTGTTATCTCGTCCCGATTGTTTGAGTGTGTATGATGATTCCCACTTCTCTGTACTGTGTCGTGCCCGTTATGTCCAGCAGTTGAAGGTCCTTGAAGCTGTTTGTATTCGTACGCATAAGCCCGATTTGTGTAAGCAAAAAGAACATGTTTTAGCACTTAGGTTATTTTCGTGAGTTTGCACCCCGTGTTCATGAGTTGTTTCTGCACTGTTCATGCCCGTTTGTCACACTTACTCTTTATTTTAGTTCTCACTTTTTGTAAAACTTACCACAAGTTACCCGTCATGTGTCACACTTCTTTGGATTTTTAACCTTTGTTTTTCCCTTGATCTCTTTAGTTCCGTATTTCCACTGATGATCGGAACGTGAAAATCGATTTTGGAAACACACAAAACCAAACCTTGAACAAATTGTCATGTTGCGTGGTGATGTCTGCGGCATTCATACTTTTCATTGCTATTATTAAACTTTTATCTCCACGTAGATTATTTGTATTATTATTATTATTATTATTATTATTATTATTCACCACTAGAAAGTTACCAAGCAACCACAAACGAGAACTACTGATCTAAATTCACAAACAATTTCAACGTAAACAAATTCTTTTTCTGCCTACACAAAATCGGCCTGGTGGTAAAAATGTAAATAGACTCCAATACACGCAAATACCTTTGACTACGTGAACGAGACCAAACAGAAAAGCAATCATCAGCATAACTAGAACGACAATCACTATTCTGAACAAGATGGTTGGCGATAGAAGATTCATACACCCTAACAACGCTACTAGAACCAGTACATACTTTGGAATTACGTGACAATGAAACCGACCTGACATTCCTTGCCGCTACTGCCAATCCAGACGAGGCCGATGTAGATGTCCGTACCAAAGGCACGTCCGTTGCTGGCACTGCCTGCTGGTTCTAGTAGCGTTGTTAGGGTGTATGAATCTTCTATCGCCAACCATCTTGTTCAGAATAGTGATTGTCGTTCTAGTTATGCTGATGATTGCTTTTCTGTTTGGTCTCGTTCACGTAGTCAAAGGTATTTGCGTGTATTGGAGTCTATTTACATTTTTACCACCAGGCCGATTTTGTGTAGGCAGAAAAAGAATTTGTTTACGTTGAAATTATTATTATTATTATTATTTGAAACTCGGATGTTGAGCCATAAATAAATGTGGAAGAGAAAAAGACATATGGATACGAGTTAAGAGTAACTCTCCATCACTGTAACATGATACTATATACAGTCAATTATTATTATTATTATTATTATTATTATTATTATTATATGTTTTTTGTAGGACAGATTTTTGGTGTACTGATTTCGGTTGTTGTTGTGTCTGACTCTATTCCCAATATCTAATTCTGTGGTTGGTTTTCCAACTCATTGGGTTGTAGTTTCCATCATGAGTTTGATTCCATCGTGAGTTTGATTCCATTGTGAGTTTTGATTCTATTTGCTATTTTTCGTTCCATTTTTGAGCTCATATTTTATTTTCCTGATTTCTTCTCCAGTGTATGTTGTATTGCATTTTAATACATTGTGTTAATTTTTGCCCGTAAAAGAGGCTTGCACTTCATTATTATTATTATTATTATTATTATTATTATTGGGCTCTACATTTCCTCCAGACCAGCATCCAACGTTAGGTTTGTGGCGAGAGGAGCAACACGTGGCTCAAAACGTTTTAGAGTGAAGCTTAAACTAGATTGGTGGATTCAAAATGTCTGCAGAATGAGCTTAGGAAAAGAGCATTTTATTTCTAGTGAGCATAGGAAAATAATGTGGAAAACTTGCCGGGGGCTGAAAACGACATGGGTTTGAAAGCTTGGGATCTGAATAATGACAGTGACCACGCAGAGCAGATTAGTGTCGGACAAAGGAAACGTCATAAGTAAAGGCATGACACAGGAATCAGAAAAGACTTCAAAAGAGAGAATACAATTATGAGTTATCACGCCCTGGCGGGCAAACTAATACTACATTAGTACTTCTACTTACTAGTGTATGAAACGGACAGATCATGAGACACAAGAAGAGATTGCAATCTGCTGTTGTTGTTGTTGTTGTTCAAACAACGACAACGACAACGCGACGACGACCCCGACCCCGCCGCCGCCGACGACGCCGCTGCCGACGACGACGAAGACAACAACAACAACAACAACAACAACAACAACACCAACAACAACAGATTGCTGTGCATGCAACAACCACTGTAGTCGAGTCTTAGCGAGTAGACATTACAAACGGTTATCAAAGACAAGAATGGATGAAATATGGACGTAGTGGAGAGAGTTAGAGGAAGAGTGGAAGAATGTGCAAGACAGTCTGAATATGTCCGTGATCCTTCAACCATTACACGTGTTATCTTAGTCACGTGTTATCGTAGTCACGTGTTATCTTAGTTTTCCATCAACTCCTCGAAGCACTTTCGATGATAGATGGCTCCACGGAATCGAACACCATCGCGACGGACAAGTTCCGGGCAGTGGTTACAAGCTACTGCGAACCGAGTGTCGTAGCAAGACTTGCAATACAACTCGTCATCACGCTTGTAAAACTTCTGTCCCGCCAGCTCGGCGTTGCAGTCGTAGCAGCGAAAGCACCATGTATGATACCTCTTGCCCTTCATGGCGCTTACTGACGCACCGGTAATCGCCTGCTCGCACTTTGCGCACTGCTCCAGGAACAAGTTTCCGTAACAGCTCTGGCAGTGGACCTTGCCCTGGGTCACGATGAAGTCTTCAGGATTCACTGGGTCGCTGCAGTTCTCGCATCGCAGGCAACGCTCGTGCCAATGATGATCGCCATAAGACAGTTGACTGTCGCCAGCACCAATCTTCTTGTCGCAGGAGTGGCAAGTCTTGGCTAGTCGCTCATCGTAACAGCACAGGCAGACCACGTGACCATCATGCGCAACGTACTCATCTTCGTGCAGTCCCAGGCGCTTGTCGCAGTAGAAGCAGCAGAAATGATCCGTATGCCAGGATTTACCCTCGGCCAGCGTGTACTGTTTGTCGAAGATCAGTTCATCACAGCCGGCACAACGCGGGTGAGTCAGTTCTGCGTGATGGCGACCACAGTGCGCCTTACCGGCATGTGTGTAATGGGCAAGGTTGACTAGGAACTCGTCGCAAGTGCTGCAGACGAAGCAGGAAGGATGCCACGCTTTACCGGGAAGCTTTTCGGAGTGAACTGCCATCGAGCCATCAGCAATATCCAAGCTACAATGCTCGCAGATTTCGTTCGGCTTGCTCAAAACGACGGTTCCTTCCGCAAACTCCTTTTCGCGCATCGCAACGAATTGTTGTCTGCCAGTGGCCGCATGTTGGTCGTCGTTGCTATTAGCTACGCTAACGTCGTGCAGTGGGAATTGGTTCACCTGCAGCTGGTGCCACTGCTTGATTCCTTGCGGGGTGGTGACAGGGCGGAGTTCTTTGGGCAATTCTTGCATGAAGCGCTCCACAGTATCCGCTGTGTACAGGCCCCTCGGTGTCCAGGTGTACTTGATGGCGGCCGCTTCATCCACAGTGTGTACGTCAGCGTCTTCTTCTGCTTGCCACAGTGTCGTATCAGCAGATATCCCTGCCTCTCCAAGCCTTGCCCTGGCTAATGCTTGTCGTACAGCCTGGACTCGATCTTCATCAGGCTCGACACGACCGGTACTTGCCAGGCCATTGCCATGACCGGACTGATTGCCGCCTTGAACAAGCGCTCCTTCGTGTAGTTCCGTCAGGCAGAAGCAATTGCGACACACTTTGCGCCAGGGATGCGGCTTGTAGCCATCGCGACAGCGGCGACACTCTGTGCACTTCGCCTGCTCTTGAACCACGACCACGGGTTGCAGAATGCCAAACCTGTGATTGACGGTCGTGAGGCTGGTACCGGGGTTAACGCGATTGAAACCGCGGCCTGCCCATATGCTTGGCTTCTTGGCTGCAGGGCTAAGTGGAGTCTTGGCGTTCTTCTGCTGACCGCCTTCATCAAACTGCACTGCTGCAGGCAAGCTACCTCCGGCGTGCATAGTTACGTCACGTAGTAGGCTAGCTGGGCAACTAGTTGCAACACAAGTATTGTACATGTATGTACAACGAAACTAAATGGAGGTAACGCCGGATTAGATACAACCAACGATTAGATACAACAAACAACTGCAACTTGTCAAGTTGGCAATGCAGAAAGCAGAATCGCTACCATAATATTAATAGTAATAGTCACTGTTGGTTCGTCAGCGTATTCAACAGCTTCACCTGATCACAGCTAAACACACACACTACATGCACTGTGATATGACGACAGAATTGCCAGCATAGCGTGTCCCGTATGTACCGTACGGTATCATGGCTGGCAATAATCACGTTCCAATGCAACATCACCGTACCGTACATGGGTGGCCGAAAATTGTACAAATCGAAAATATACCGTAGTTCCTGGGGTACGATAATGTCACCGTACGCAACAATCTTGTCGTAGCAGGATCACGAGTGTTCTTTTGTCCGACAAAGGATCCATATGACCTGCTGTATATGTAGCTGTGTCATGGATTGGCTTGGCGTGGTACGAGGAGATTTGTAATAATTTTACATGAAAGTAAAAAAGGCTATCATTTCGTTACCCTGGCGAGTTTTGAAGTGTGCATGGTCTCAATCTGTCACTCTGTATGTCCTCTATCCACGTATGGACTTCTTGATCGAACACCACAAACATAATAACTTTATTAGGATGACCCAAAGGCTGACCGCCTATCGTGTGGTCCGTCGCATTGAAGGATGATGGTACAAGAGAGTACAGATTGGGAAGGGGGGGGGGGACTACGATGAACAGGGTAACGGCATGCCAGCGAGTAGACCTGAATACTGACAAGAATGTTTGCGCAGCTCTCTCTTGAATACATGGACAGAAGATTCCGAAGTCAATGTGGGTGGGAGACAATTCCATAAAAGGGAGGTTTTGAATAAAAAAAGTGATTTGGATGTTGTCAAGGCTTTGGGGAGGATAATTTTGTTGGGGCGTCTCTCACTACGGGAAATATTAAAACTGAACTGAGCCAAGGTGTTCCGGTATTTGAAAATAAACTTGTGCAATGTAACTAGGCTAATGAATTGTCCATTAGACACAGTGCAGTGTGGGGTTGCTTTGCATGCATTTTTTTTCACCCCGAAAAAGTGTGTTCAAAATTTTACAAGTCGGTGAAATAGGGTCTAACATCAACAAATATGACCTAAATGTGTCAATAAGCTTGCAATGGGAAATCAAGATACATGTAAATCTGAAGCAAGTCACATGCAGAGAAAGCAGACTGGTTTTGCAGGTTGCCCAACGTATTGGTTTCTGTACATCGTCAACTGCGGTTCAAAACGGTAGGATATCTTTGACCGCCTGCCGGCATTGTACAGCATGAGCACGCAGACCTTATCTTGCTGCCCCATTTCTTTCAACTTGCAGTGCATCCTCGTGCGTGAAATAACCACACTAAGCGAAGATACCATCCATGATGCGCGCCAGCCGTCCCACGACAGGGTGCCTTCGTGCATCTGGGCCACAGTGCATTTAACCGGCACATACTGACAATGTCGGGGCTTCCATACTCTCCAAGACAAGTGCAGTGACTCCTTCACCTCATTCATATACTTCTGTGTTGGAAGAAGACTGCAGACCACCCTCAATGGGTGCTCCGCCGTCAACACCCAACATACATTCATGCCGCATTTCCAGCAGGCTTTGCCATCGTGAATCTCTACCAGCACTTCTGAGGTAGCAAGCTGAGTTTCATACGTAGGTCTACTGAACAGCTAATTGTTTACCTGTATGCCATAAGCATCAGCAGCTTCGGACTTGGATTTGAATCACCTTTCATGATAGTTGAGTGAGAGACATCTTTTGTCAAAATTGCAGTTTCTGACCTTAACCTTTTTGGCTAATCTCTTCTTCAGCCCTGCTACTTTGACGGTGTGACAGACTCATTCCTGGCATCGGTGACCAGCCTAGGGTTTCCACCTGCCGTAGAATATGCTCGCTGGCTCTTGGACGTCCTTCAAGCATCCATTGAGGGATATTTTACCTCATTGACCACAAATTCACGAATTTCGATCCATGTTTGATATCTCACAAGGCCGTGGAAGAAGACAATTCCGCTAAACGCTACTGATGCTTACAAACTACAATATAATGGCAACTCACGTGTCTGTTGGACTAACAAAAACACTTCATAGGAAGAGTGCAATCGCCCTCAACAATGATATTTTGCTCGATTTGTAAAAATATGCCATGTAAATTTTTTACAAATCACCTCGTAGTCTTTAATAATAACGAGAGAGCTTGGAAGCTCAGGGCCCTACGCTATGCTCTTATGCTTCTTTGCCTAGCTCATCGTACATGTTATTAGAACTGATGGAAATGTGTTGTTGCGGTGCGACTTGGTCCCGCAACTAACCATCGTCAGGCAGACCACAAAAACCCAGAAACTCCTTTAATCTACATTACCACTCGTTTTCAACAAGAACACCAAAGAACACACCGAACAACGATCGCCAAATCGCTGTCCTGGGCAAAACGTGCAGCGTGCGTGCATTTGGCTTGCGCTGCATGCATGCACACAACGACGTGGCATAGAGAGAAAATGCAGCGTACAGAAAATGCATGATCATCGTAGCCATAGAGATACTAAATAATGGCGACTGCCAAAGTCCGCGTGCAGCGCGGACGAGTACGAGTGCATGCAACGAAAAGAAAAGCAATAATTTGAAATGCAGAACAAGCAGAAACTAATAATGACTTGCAATGTGCTGGAGTGAAAGAATAAAGAATTGTTGGTTACGGAGGTGAAAACAGTGTCTGTCAAGGGGTGCTTGCACCCAGCGACAGGGTGACAGCACACCCTGTCAGCGAGAGTAAGTTTCGCCAAGTAGATCGTAGCGGAGTTGCCGCGGATGGCGATAATGCAACGGATCAAGTACTAGTAAGTACATGTACATTGCAACCAATTAGTGTGTCAACAATTCTACTTATATAATACATTAGAACAATTCACAAGATATTCCGCTCGTGAACATGGCGTGGTACGAACACGCATAGCAATTACTGTATCGTAAAATGTGTCTCGACGTAGACGTAACAGACATGCACTCGTGATGTAATTCTAACAGACTAACAAATAAATATTACACTCGCGAAATACATAGCAGTAATACGCAACGCACCAATATTGCAAGCGACCTAGCATGTCTTGACAATACTGCCCTTGCAGCATGTGACAGTTCTGTACACAATTCGTAACTACAATACACTAATAGTATCAACGTGCAACATGTGACAACATGAAAGGATAATGTTCAAGAGTGCAGTCTCCTGTCCATGTGTTTTTCCGTTGATTGCCCACATCATTGTATTGCAAAAACGTTTCAATCAGTTTGAATATGAGTTAGGCAAAAGTATTTGCAGAATTTACTGCGGATTGTTATTTTTCTCTAATTTCATCCACTTTTGCTCCTTCTTTTCTTTTTATCTCCTTATACTGTAAATCAACGAATTTTGGCTGATGAGAAACTTTGGCCGATCTCGAAACGAAACTTTTCACCGTCATTAAAATTTGGCCGATTGGAGTTTTGAAAAAGAAAAGAAGGAGCAAACCAAAAGTGGACGAAATTAGACGGAAAAATAACTATTTTGGAGTCGACGGGATGTCTGTCCTGACGTTTCCTGGAACCGGCGCTGACTCTGCCGATCACGGGCGTTCTGGAGTCGACGGGATCTCTCTTCCGACGTTTCCTGTGACCAGTTCTGAATCGCCCGTTCACCCTTATTTTGGAGACGACGGGATCTCTCTTCCAAAGTATGTTTTTGCTGACGCATCCTATCACCTATTCGGCAACTAACGTCCATTCTAATTTCATTTCCTCCTTGTCTCCCTATTTCTTTCCAAATCTCCCTATACATCAGGGAGTCGTATACATAATACGACAAATATTGTGGCCAGCTGGGTTTTTTTTAGAGATGAAAATACTTTTTTTCTGAAAAACGTAAAATATTTGGCACCTTTGATCAGGGATGGCCCACGCCTGGTAAAAAAGTAAATAATTAAAGAAAAAAATTAAAAATAAGAGGTTCTGTGTTCCGGCTCTCCGCCTTCTCCGCGAACATAAGAGAACTAGAGGAGAACAAACAAACACAAGAAGCAAGAATGACACGAAAAGCAGAAATTATGAGAACATGGTATAAATGAGCACGGCTACCAAACGAGAGAGCTTGGAAGCTCAGGGTCCTGCGCTATGCTTTGTTGCCTAGCTCATCGTGCATGTTGTTAGAGCTGATGGAAATGCTTTTTTCTTTGATTAGCTACATCATTGCATTCCAAAAACGTTTCTATGAGATACTGAAGTAATGTCTTCTGCATAGCTATGGGACCGGCGCTGACTCTGCCGAACACGGGCGTTCTTCTTCTTATTATTATACTGACGGCAACTAACATCCATTCTGATTGCATTTACTCGTCTCCCTACTTCGTATTTCTTTCCAGAAAATCTCCCCATACAGCAGGGAGTCGTTTACATAACGAGAGAGCTTGGAAGCTCAGGGCCCTACGCTATGCTTTTTTGCTTGCTCATCATGCATGTGACGTGCCAAAGCTGTGTGTTTGTTTTCTTTCTCTGGAAGACTGTATGCACTAAGAATATCAAACATAAGACACTGCTAAAACTGAGAAGAAACTTAGAATTGGATTCAACCACTGTTCACCATGAACTCTTTTCAAGACAAGGAGAAAGAAAAAAACAACAACAAAACCAAAGCTGCTAGAGCACTGCACGCGGAAAAACTCTGCACGTGAGATGCCGTGCAGCGGGAAAAAGGCCATACATCTGAAGCATACGTCTCGTGCACAGGAGCACAAGCCCGGGAAAAACAGGGTTGATGATCACATGATTTCACGCATGAGTGATACCATACATGACCTACAGAACTAGAGAATGATTGTAGTGAAAACAGACACATAAATCATACATTTCTCCCCTCTTTGCTCGAATAAGGCAGAACTATGGTTGACGGATGAGAGCAAGCTAACGTAAACAGAAGAGATCACACTACATGTATAGCATGGATTGAACGCTGCACCAAACTTGAGTGGAACGGCCAACGCCGGAGAATTGGACTGTCACCTAAGAACAATTTTGAATTTTAAGATGATGAGAAAAACAGCAGATAATGATCTCCAAGTCGGGTGCATGACCATATCAATGTTCCCTAAGAACATGTCACTTTGCTGTACAATACTGTTCGTTGCTGCTAGCAGTTCACACGGAGCGAAACTGTTCACTACTGCTAACAGTTCACTGCTCACTCTCGAGTGGAATCAGGACATTGATAGCACGTCGGTACACCCGCTTGCGGATCTTGATGTCCACTACGCGTACACAACCGTCCTCAGCCGGGTATACAGCAACCACTCGACCGAGTGGCCAGGTATTTCTAGGGGTGTGTGCGTCAACACAGATGACGACATCGCCCACCTTGATGTTGCGTTTCTTCTGCTGCCACTTCTGCCGGACGTTCAACGTTGGAACCACCTCCTTCACCAACCTTCGCCAGACGTCTTGAGTTAGGCGCTGTACAACTCTCCACCTGTCATGTGGATCAGGCTGTCCGTCAGGCTCCAGATGATCGATGGCGTGGTGGATATCGCGATGACCCACGAGGAAGTGCAGTGGCGTTAGCGGCTCTAGATCCTCGGCATCGTCACTGATACTCGTAAGAGGTCGGGCGTTCAGCATAGCCTCCGCATGAACGAATGCGGTCGCAAGCTCTTCATCACTGCACACTCCATTTTCGAGAACGGCGTACACTGCACGCTTCGCCAGCTTGATCATAGACTCGAACACACCTCCGTGATGTGGCGCGCTTGGTGGATTAAATCTCCAGTTGATCTTGTTTGACGCCATGTCTGCCGCAACATCTTCAGAGTGCTCCAGCTCTTCCACGGCGTCTCGCAGCTCTGCTTCAGTAGCGACGAAATTGGCGCCGTTGTCAGAGACGACATCCTTCGGTGTGCCTCGCCTCTTACAGAATCGGGAGAAACACATCAAGAACCCCTGTGCCGTCATGTCGTAAGCCATTTCCAAATGACACGCACGTGTCTCCAGACACGTAAATAGGCAGAGATAACGCTTGGCACGGCTTCGTCCACGGCCTTGCCTTGTCGAGAACGGCCCGGCGTAGTCCACGCCAACGCCAGAGAACACTCGTTCAGTGATAGCGACACGCTGCTCAGGAAGCTGTCCCATGAGTTGGGATGCTGGCCTGTTCCACCGTCGTCTGCAGCCGTTGCAACCGTGTCGATGCGACTTCACTGCCTGCTTCCCGCGGACGATCCAATAGCGTTGTCGGAGATTTGCGAGTAGATAGTTGACTCCGAATTCGTGATGACACTTCTCATCCTCCGATGCTATGACGAGTGAGGTGATCTGGTGCTTAGGTGGGAGAATCACGGGCCGGCGTGTGCATGCCGTAACCTTCGTGCTAGCATTATCGAGCCGTCCGCCGACTATCAGCACTGCAGGATGCTGACTTGTATCCAGTTCTGGATTCAGTGGCAGCAGCGGATCGCCATTCTCAAGTGGTTGGCCACGCTCAAGACGGCTGATGGTGCGCCCATAGGACTCGCGTTGAGAAACGGAGAGCCAGTACCTCTCTGAAAGTACCATCTCCTCAGCCGACAGCTCCGGTACTGGAACACAACTGCCGCTGCAGTCGCAACTCCCCTCTGTGCTGCTGGCTGGGAGAGGTTGCAGCAATCCATCTGATGTGGCAGGTGCACTGGCTTTGGTTGATCCAGCTGCCTGCTTGCAGTTGCGGAGGAAACGAAGGCACCAGCACGTCACGCGAAGAAGTCTCTTCCATGACGAGTACCTGGCTGGTGACAAGCGAGACTGTGCAGGCTCCGCTGCTGTTGTGACAAACGCAGATGCCAGGGCTCGCTTCGTCTCTCCACCGACGTATGATGGCACAGTGATCTCTCGAATTGGCCACTGATCGGGAGGCGACGACAGGAACTCCGGTCCGGACCACCAGACTTCATTGTCAGCTAGCTTCTCCGCTGTCAATCCACGACTTGGCAGGTCTGCGGGGTTGAGTCGGCCCGGGATATGACGCCATTGAGCTCCAGAGGTAGCGGCGTGAATCTCGGAGATTTTGTTCCCGATGTCGGTCTGAAACTTCCGGCTGTGAGATCTGACCCAATACAGCACGTTCATACTGTCCGTCCAGAATACATGGTCTCGGACTGGCAGGTTGAGTGCTTTCTCCACCTCGAGGCTCAGCTTCGTGCCGAGGACCGCTGCCTTCAGCTCCAATTTTGGGATGGAGAGCTTGCGGATTGGAGATGGTCTCGCCTTCGCCAGGGCTAGCGTCGTCTTCACCGTTCCGTCTGGATACTGGCACCGTATGTACGTAGCAGCAGCGTACGCTCCATCAGATGCATCGGTGAACGTGTGCACTTGGATCTCAGCAGTGGAGGGGTCGAGAGTGGCCACCTTGAAACACCGGTCGACTTGGACTGCTGAGAGTGAGGGTAGCTCCGAGAACCATTGCGTCCAAGCCTTGGCATCATGCTCGTCCAGTTGATCGTCCCAGCCATACCCTTTGATGCATAGCTGCTGGAACATCATCCGCGAGCGAATCGTGAACGGGCAGATCTGTCCTCGCGGGTCGAATACTGTGGACATCTCCTTCAGGACTGTCCTCTTGGTCATCTGCTCAGCTGCGCAGCCGGAGAAGACGAAGAGGAACTTGTCGGACTCAGCATTCCAGGTGACACCTAGAGTCTTCGTGGATGGCAGCGTGCTGTGACTGTGATCACCCACCTCGGCAACAGCTCCTGGCGCACGATCCTCCTCTGGAACATCGGCCATTACTGCTGCAGAATTGGACAGCCACTTGCGGATGTTGAATCCACCATCATGGAGTAGTGACTTCACCTCGAGGCGCACACGCTTGGCTGTGTCATCATCAGCACACGAATGGAGTAGGTCATCTACGTAAGTGTCATCGTGGACCGCGGCCGATACGTCAGTTGAGTAGAGATGGCCAAACTTGTTGGAGGTCTCCTCGAGAGCTCTACCCGCCAGGTACGGTGACGCTTTTACACCAAAGACGATGCGGTTGAACTGGTACACCTTCGGCTCGTGCTGCGGGTCGTGCCGCCACAAGAAGCGGTGGTACTTGCGGTCTTGTTGACGTAGCTGGATTTTGCAGAAACATCTCTGATATATCGCCGACCAGGGCCACCGGCTCCAGGCAGAAGCGAAGCAGGACGTGAACAATATTGTTCTGTGTCTTTCTGCCAGCATACATCTCCTCGTTCATAGACGTACCTCCCCAGTTGACGGACGCATCGAAGACGACTCTCACCTTGGTGGTCACGCGATCATTTCTCACGACTGGGAAGTGGGGAAGATACCATTGATCACTTCCGTCCTCTGCCGCTGTGGTGGGCTCAACTTCTTCGATGTAGTGCTTCGTCATGTAGGTTGACAGCACGTTCCGGTATGCCTCGTACACAGCCGGTCGTTTGGCGAGCGAGCGCTCCAACGACTGAAGCCGCTGCTCAGCCTGCTTTGCGTTGGACTCGAGGCTCGGAATCCCGCTCGTCGCACTCCACGGGATGCCCATCTCAAAACGCGATCCATCGTGTTGAATCGACTCGGTCACTAGCTGTTCTGCCCGTTGCTCATCAGGTGTTGAGTATGTCTCACCCATGCCGACCTTCTCCAACTCCCAGAAGCTGTTGACAAGTTCATCTAGTCTCAGGTCCTGCGTAGACCCGACGAGAGATGCACCAACACATGTCATCTCGGGCTGGTCATAGGAGTTGTCAGTTGCGCCGTAACACACCCACCCGAGTGGTGTCAACCGAGCTAGCGGGTCACCAGGCTTGCCATGCCGTTCCTCCAGGGACGTGTGAAGCTGTGCCGCATTGAGTCCAATGAGGATGTCCACCTGAGCATGCTGCTGGTGCCTTGGGAACCTGATGTCGCTCAGGTGCGTCCAGTTCTGTTTCTGCGCGTTCCAGTCGACAGGCTTGATGGCACCAGTCACTGTTGGAAGGACGAAGGCAGAGCATGCAGACTCTTCGTCGCCTCCCTGTCGGGTGATAGTAACCGCTACTCTCTCACGGTCACCTCGGATGGTCTTGCCACCTAGTACGGTAGTCGTCAGTGTTTCGACATCTCCGCTGTAACTCAGCTGCTTGGCCAGGTCTTCTCTGATGAAGCTGACGGATGATGCCGAATCTAGCAGTGCGGTAGCCTCGACGACGTGAGGACCATTCTTCACTGTCACCGGCACTGTCATGAACAATACGTGCTGAGACTGGGAGAGACTGTCACTCGCGAAGCAGCTGGCTCCGACATTGACGGCAGCAGACGAATGTGCACCCGCTTTGTCACCTTCGGCGGTTTGTGCCTTAACTACCGGCGCCTGTTCGCTGGGCTTTCTCTCCGAGTGTAACATTCTGTGGTGCTTCCGCCCACACATGTCGCAGGGCTTGTTGCGACACTCTGCCGATCGATGCTTAGCCGGTCTCAGGCAACAGATGCAGATGTTGAGGGGCTTCACGAAGCTCCAGCGTTCAGCAACTGACATCTTCGCGAACTCATGGCAGTCTGCAAGTTGATGCTGCTTACCGCACTTGATGCAGCTCTTCGGAGTACCGGCTGACTTCCGCTCGCTGCTCTCGGCGGCTGTTGTCAGAGTGTAGTGTTGACGGCGCTCTGACAATTTGGTCCTCTGACTGCCACAAGCGGATTGTCTTTCTGCAGCAGCCTGGCGCTTGTCCGAACTGCTGCTGGATGACACTGCTTGGCTCTTGTAGCTGTTGCGCTGGCGCTCGTCCACCTTCCGCATCATGTGCACGACGTGAAGCAGCCAGTCCGCGAATGATTGTACATTGCATTTCTGGTCATCATACTTCTCAAAGTACTTGAGCAGCATTGACGACGGGACTTTCTCCGTTGCAGCGAGATAGAGCTCTCGGCCAGGGGTTATACCACATGACCTCATGTTCACCAGGACACTCCGCAGCTTCAATGCGAACTTCTTTATCTTCTCAGTGTCCTTCATGGTAGTGATCTTCGGCCACGTAATGATTTCCTGCTCGTGCCGCTCGATCTGACGATCCTCACCACCATACCAGGCCTCGATCTCCTGCATGGCTGCCTGATAGGCCCCCGGCCCGTCCATGACGTCTTCTATCAGCTCCTCAGCACAGCCACCCGCGAGAGCCTCCCTCAGGCGTGCCATCTTGTAGTATTCTGTGACATTCGGATCTGCGCCGACCAGTCCCATGAATTTCTGCCGCCATCTCACGTAATTGTCTTCATTGCCATCAAACATGGGCAGCTTCAGTGCCTTGAGGTGGCCACTCGGGCGGTAGGCCGGCGTCACTGTCGGGGCACCCTGATGCTGTCCGATTTGGTGGGCTGGCACTGCTTGTGCTTGGCTACTCGGGTACTGGGGTGCTGCTGTTGAAACCATGTACTGTGGTACAGGCATAGGCTGATATGGATACGCCGGTGTGCTGGTGTATGTCAGGCCGGGTCTGACCTCACGCGAGATTGTCGGCTGACTACTGGTAGCTGCTCCGTGCACCGTCACGCTGGGCTTCGGCACAAACGGAGGGGCGGCTGCTGTAAGTGCTGTCATTGGTGCGAACGCCTGGCTCACGAAGCCAGAGCGTTGAGTTGGCGCTGCACTGGATGCGGCTACGGCGCGCTGTGCGCTGAGACCGTCCACACCATGCGGCCTAGTTGCTGATGCTCCACTGGTGGTGCTACTGCCTACTGCACTGATAGTAGCAGGTGGTGACGGAACAGCAGCATTCACTGCTGGCACTGGTCTGCTGCTCACTGGGTGTGCTGGTGTCCTTACTGCCCTTGACAGGGTAGTTGTTGGCTGTAGTCTGCCTGGATTCCTGACAACAAACTGCTGTGTGGATCTGCTGACATGTTGTTGCTGCTGCTGCTGGTCCCCTGCCAGTTCTGAGTTCGACTTTCTGTTCCTTAGTTCTCTAACATACCACAGAGGCAGCCTTCTGCTGTAGTCGGAGCTGCAACTATCCACCTCTGTTTCGTCGTCATCAGCATCTGAACTTGCTGAACCAGTAACACTGGGTGGCACTATTGGCGATTGCCCAAGCACCATCTCCACCGGGTTTGCCTCAACATCACCCGACGCATACGCTGCGTCTGTAACTGTGGCTGTCGGTTCGACCAGTCCATCAGCTGACTGTGGTGTAGACCCACGTCCTGTGCCGACCACTGGTCGGTCCAAATCGGAAGGTGAGTAGACACTTCTATCTTCGCTGCTGTTCTCACTGTAAGCAGATGCGGAAGAGCGGCGACGAAACTCAGACTTCGCCCTCTCCACCGTGCTTGCCTTCTTCATTAGATCGAGTTGGATGGCGATCGACTCTTGTCGCAACTTCGCCACTTCTGCTTCCTTGTCCAACTCCGCCTGTAGTCTCTCGACTTCCTTGGCTATTCTTCTTTCGGATGCACTAGTCCTTACACCTCTCTCATCATGTCTTCGCTGTGTTAGGTTTCCGACGTCTGCGTCGGAGGAAATAAATCGCTTGGGCAGCTTGCCCTTCGTTGATCTTGAACTGACTCGCTGTCCAGGTATGGCACTCTGCTCGTCCATCCTGAAGATCCGGCTCGAAGGACCAGTATGTTTGTTTTCTTTCTCTGGAAGACTGTATGCACTAAGAATATCAAACATAAGACACTGCTAAAACTGAGAAGAAACTTAGAATTGGATTCAACCACTGTTCACCATGAACTCTTTTCAAGACAAGGAGAAAGAAAAAAACAACAACAAAACCAAAGCTGCTAGAGCACTGCACGCGGAAAAACTCTGCACGTGAGATGCCGTGCAGCGGGAAAAAGGCCATACATCTGAAGCATACGTCTCGTGCACAGGAGCACAAGCCCGGGAAAAACAGGGTTGATGATCACATGATTTCACGCATGAGTGATACCATACATGACCTACAGAACTAGAGAATGATTGTAGTGAAAACAGACACATAAATCATACACTGTGTGAGCCCTGGCTAGCGCCAAACGATACTGAAGTAACGTCTGTTGCGTTACTACGGGATTAATATTTTTTGTTTATTTTTAATTTTTAATTTTTAATTTTTTTGTGTCACGCCCGGCGCTATCCCGTATTTGTCCCGTACCGTACCCTACCATCAAAGACAGCTGGCCACAAACAGCTGGCCACAATATGTTTTGTTTGTTTGTGCCATCGGCATGCCTGGCGCTATCCCCTACCTGTCTCGTTTCTGCCGAGCACGGGCGTTCTGGAGTCGACGGGATGGACAGTCATGTAGATCTATAGCAGGGAGTCATATTATGTAAACGACTCCCTGCTGTATGGGGAGATTTTCTGGAAAGAAATACGAAGTAGGGAGACGAGTAAATGCAATCAGAATGGATGTTAGTTGCCGTCAGTATAATAATAATAAGAAGAAGAAGAACGCCCGTGATCGGCAGAGTCAGCGCCGGTCCCAGGAAACGTCAGGACAGACATCCCGTCGACTCCAGAACGCCCGTGATCGGCAGAGTCAGCGCCGGTCCCATAGCTATGCAGAAGACGTTACTTGTACTTCAGTATCTCTTTGAAATGTTTTTGCAATACAATGATGTAGCTAATCAAAGGAAAAAGCATTTCCATCAGTTCTAACAACATGCACGATGAGCTAGGCAACAAAGCATAGCGCAGGGCCCTGAGCTTCCAAGCTCTCTCGTTTGGTATTTGTGTGTTTGTGTGTTTGTTTGTTTGTGTGACGCCTGGCGCTATCCGTATCTGACGGCAAAAAAGCATAGGATGTTATAAATTTTTCAATTCTCCTATTTTTTCCAGGCATATCCTAGGATTCGAACCCGCACTATCGCCCTACATGCATTCCCCCACACACTTCGCATTCATACCCATTCTTCCAAGTTGCTTCACGTTATTATCTTGCTTTTGAAAGCCCTATTTGAATATTGCGGGCAGCTGTATGTGGCCAGCTGTGTTTGATGGTACGGTACGGTACGGGAGACGGTGTCGTATTACCCTCGATCGTACCTGTCCCGTACCTATCCCCTACCGTACCGTGCCATCAAAGACGGCTGGCCACAATGCATATTCAAACAGGGCTTTCAAATGCAAGATCACAATGTGAAACAACTTGGAAGAATTAGTATGTATGCGAAGTGTATCGGGGGATGCATGCAGGGCGCGCGATAGTGCGGGTTCGAATCCCAGGTCTTAAAAAAAGGATTTTTTTTAAAGAATTTATAACATCTCTATGCTTTTTTTTGTCTAGGTCATCAAGGCAAAAAAGCATAGCGTAGGGCCCTGAGCTTCCAAGCTCTCTCGTTTCAGGATTACCCAAAGGCTGACGCCTATCGGGGACTTTATTGCTTTACTTCGCCAAGCAAACAGACAATGATGCCTTTTCCCCAGCCAACTGCTGGCTAGCACAGAACGATGAACAATTATTATTGGATTCTGTGCCGTCTGTCTGTTGCCCCTTTCAGATCCAGCGTGGCTTGTTTGCGGAGCGCACAGCGAATTTGTTGCCAGCCTGCCATGGATACCTCTGTTGTGAGGATGGTGGCTGAAGCTGCTATCATGTCCGAAAAGGTAGTTGGTTGGTTGGTTTTCATTATTTCAGTTCGTTGCCTCAACAGTACAAAGTACAAAATATCAAGAGGGAGGAACGAAAAGAGAAAGTAAAACAGAGCAGAAAGGAAGAGTAGTTGTTTGTTCGAGGTTGAAGGCCGGCGACTATCCTGTTTTTTGGGGTGTTTTTTGTTTTTTGTTTGTTTCTGGTGTCTATCAACAACGACCTGAAAAATTCCAGAACCACAAACTCCCTCACATCACACGAGGATCTAGTTGCACTGAGGCAACTCGCCCAGGATCCTCGAAAGTGGAAGGAACTAATGTGTGCTGTGTGTGTAGTGGCTGAAGTTATTCAATTACACTAGAGTTTCTAAACACACGGCGAGGAGACAATAATTTGATAACCGCAATCAATAAAACTAGCTGAACCGACATTTGTGTACTTTATTCATGCAATATAACAACGGTGGAGACGATGTGCAATAAAACGATGAAAATATGAAGAAATGGTGTAGGGAAAAATATGGATTCAAACAAGTTTTCGTACAACACTCCTCAGAAATCGTAGTTGTACTAAAGGACACTGAAACAAAAATTGAACTATTATAGAAAATCTAAGTTAGAGAAATAACACTAAGAGCGACAGCAGTGAAATTTACAAGTGTGAATTTTAACAATAAAATTCACACTTGTAAATTTCACTACATTGCATGAATAAAGTACACAAATGTCGGTTCAACTAGAGTTTCTACTTTGCAATAGTACATGTATATAACGGGTACAATTACACTAGACACTCTAACACACTAGATACTCAAGATACATGTACTCTAACAATTTTATCAACACGAACTTAGAAGTTGGAACAATCAACTTAAATGTTATCAACAATTATGATAAATACCACATCAAATGCTGCAGAGACCTATCCAGAATCGGCAATATGCTGGCTCTGGCCTGGAGATCTGCAACTACAACCAGTGCCTACTTTGCAATATTAACGGATTAGTCCCCTTTGTCGATTGATGGATCAATCGGTACCAACGTATTCGTAACCTCGATTAGTAACTTCGGCTCTGCTTTTCTTTGTTTTTGATTTTTTTCATGTTTTGAACTGTATTTTTAACTCATTGGATTTCTTCTGTATCTCGTTATCGTTATCTTTTGGTATGGTATGGTATTGATTTATTTGAATTCGGTATCTCAACAGTACATTGTACAACTTGGGAAGATCCGAATGACATAGATACATAAACATAAAAGTGGAGTAGGTGCTACAGCGGATCATTTTATCGCAGGTTGTGGGACTAAACTAATACCAGTATGCAAGTACACAAGAAATAAAAGCTGAATAAATACGACTGCATGACATTGGAGAAAAGCACCAATTAGAGCAAAACAAAGCGACACATCACTCATCGAAAACATTTTCAAAAAGGAGCTGTTTTAACCGGGTACATTGTGGCCCGTCATTAAGAAGGCAGGCAAGATGGGCGTTAAATGCAGAAGACGTATTGCAAGACTTCATTTCGAAGGGCAGAGCATTCCAAAGTAAAGCAATCCTACTAGACAATGAGCGATACCCGCATGCAGTCTTATATCGGCATAACGAAAGATTATTTGCAGAAGAGCCGCGAGTGGTGTAAGCAGGTGTACTGTGCCTACAAAATAGAGAATCTAAACTGGCAACCGGGTGAGCTACTTTACACTGAAAGATAAATTTAATGAACAACTGTAAGAAACGGTGGTCCAGAGGACATAGCTTAAGAGATAGGTAAAGGGGGTCCACGTCAGCACAGTAATGGGCACCACAGGCAGCTCGGATCGCACGACGGTGAACAGCAAATAGGCGCCCACGGTCTTTTGCAGATAAGCAGGGTAAGAACGATTGAAATGCAAATTCTAGATCAGATTGAATTACGCATAGCACATAAAGGCGACAAGCGCACGGGGACAGTTGACGAAAAGAACGCCGTAGAGCACCAATTTTGCGTGACACCTTGGCAACAAGCTTATCACAATGAGGTGTGAACGAGAGCTTGTTGTCAATTACAACCCCCAGACAGCGAGCACTGGACACTTCTGTCAGCACTTTACCATTGATACAGATAGTGGGCGTGGGACAGACCGGCCAGCGCTTGGGAGCGATGAACATTACAACAGTCTTATTCTCATTGATAGTCAGGCCAAGTTGCTGAAGATCAGTAGCGAGTGCTGATAACGTGTGGGAAACTAAATCTGCAGCCTCCTTTGCCGTCGGACAGGATGCGTACACCGTTTTGTCGTCCGCAAAAGCGAGCAATTTCGTCCCGGATGTGTCAGCAGTTGCAGGAAGGCGGCGAACATAGATGTTAAACAGAGTTGGGCCCAAGACACTGCCTTGCGGGACCCCACGAGTGACAGGTAGAAATGGAGAGACCTCACCGCACCTGAGGACCCGCTGGGCTCTGCCAGAAAGGTAGGATTTAAACCATGAGAGTGCTGATCCGCTGATACCAATCTCGTGCAAAGCCAAGAGTAGCTGCTGATGCTGCACACGATCGAACGCTTTACTAAGGTCAACAAACGCGACAGCAGAGGTCAGGCTCTGGTCCCGAGCAAGACACCAGTCATTAATTGCCAAAGAGAGCAGTTGATGGACGGAGCGATTTGGGCGGAACCCAAATTGGTGATCATGTAGGAATGCAGTCGAGTCCAGGTGACAGAATAGTTGCGACATTACCACGGATTCCAACACTTTGGACAGGATCGACGTCAGCGAAACTGGGCGGTAGCTCGTTGCGTTGTAGACGTCGGTCTGAGCGGATTTTGGGATCGGGGTGATGTTGGCTCGCTTAAAGGCAGAAGTAAACACTCCACTGCTAAGAGACGCGCTGAAGATTTGTGCCAAAGAAGGCGCCAAGGAGGACGCCATGGCCTTGAGGAAACCAGGCAGAAGGCCATCTGGACCCGGTGCCTTGCACGGTATAAGGGAGCGAAGAGCACGCTCTACCTCTGTAGTGCTGACCCGATCGAAAGAGGTC